ACCACAGATGCAGGCAGTATTCAACAGTGTTCCATGGTGCCACAGATGGAAAATGTCAGGAGAATATCCATCTAATTTTCTCTTTACACAATTAGTTTCCATTCCAGATGTACACATGCATACAAGCAGCAGGCAAACAACAATGGACAAAGATAATACATGAGTCTCTAATGTTTCTGCTTTACCTACAACTGTGTCCTTCCATCAGAAACCTTTAAGTGATGTGCTTCTTGCACTAGCATTAGCAATCCCACAATAAAGACTGTTGAGAAAAATGTTGCTCAACATTAGAGAGGTACCAAACAGTGAAAAATGTCTCAGGTGACTCTAAACATGTTAGGGTATAACTCAAGATACCCAAACACACATTTAGAAAACTTGCACAGCATATTCACTACTAGTGCATCAGCTCATTCTTCCTAGCTCCAAAAAACAAATATGTGGTATTCTAAGTGGGGAGAATAAATATATACCTATCTAAACATGGCAAAGACACAAATGAAGCAAAAATAAAGGACAGAGGGGCGGTATGGACATCTTTATAAATCTTATGTTAGGCAAAACTGAACCCAAGAAGAGATTGTCAGTTTACTTTGTATTTATTAGATGTTGAGGAAGATGGTGATCAGAAAATGGGAAGGTTGGCATTACCTTCTCAAAAAGATAGAAAGTGGGCATCACCCCCCTCCCCATTCCATACAATCCTTTTGGCACATACTTATACATTGAAGAGTGGCTAGGTTGAGACTCTGTGAATCCATGATGTCAACTCACTACTATGCTGTAGCTTAGTGTACATGCTGATCTCCCCATTTTATTCTTTCAGGTAGAAACACTCCACGGGCAGAGGGGAACTTAATGCTGCATGTACCAAAGATCTCCCTATCATACCAAAAAAAAGAAGAAAAAAGAGGGAAACTACAACGCATGAGTGTAGTGTGTATACCCCAGTAGCTATGGATCATTCACGGGTCCTGGAACACTCTGGAATTGTTTTATTTTAAAAGTACATACATGAAAACTCCTACACCATTCCTGATACTAACTATACCTGCATATCTTTTGCTCTGGCTTTTTTATGGTGACTTGGGGCAATCTGGCAACAGGCGCTCTGCTTCAATGCATAGGATGCTTGATAATGGTGCAAAAATCCCAGGGCAGTTTGTCCTCTTGCAGAGAAAAGGGGTATAAGTACTCCCACCCTCAACTGCAGGTGGAAAAGCAGCTTGGCACATAGTCAATACGGAGGAGAAACCCCACCTCTCCCCTACCAACTGCCACTCAAACTGGCAGTTTCCTGCGGCTGCTTTTCATTAAAATAAGCAACCCCAGGAAACTGGCGTATGTCTCTGCTGGGCAATATTTGGCTTGAGCCTATTTAACAGGCAGATTAGGCAGAGCTGCCTGAGTACTGTTCGATCACAGATCACTCAATTACCTCAATGGGTGCTAGTGAATCTGAATCAAGAAATCGGGCACCAGTTCTAGCCAGGGATTCAGCCTATTCGCATGAGACTAAAAGTGCACCCTGTCAGGGGAGAGACAGGCACGTACACTAGCCCCCCTCTCAACTTCCCCCTTGGAGGCCCAGCTTTCCTGTGCTGAGAACCAAGAGGCAAAAATGTTTCAGATACAACTTCCTCCATTCCTGACCACACAGAAACGTCTACGGTGCTTAAGCATCATGGACAGAATCCTGCTTCAGACCATTCTCCTCAACACTGGAAGTTTAGGGACTGATTGTCTGAAGGGACAGCAAGGGGACTTGTGTGCCTGCCCATGTCCCTCCCCTATTTGTACTCCTCCCATGAACAACAGAATGGCTGCATTGGTCTAACTCACAAACACACACACTCCCTTGCATTTCTCCTTCGCCAGTACCAGCATATTCTGTGACTTTACGTATGTGTAAGAAAGCGCTCTATGAATTCACTCGGTTGTGCAGCCTCCACATAGCACAGTCCCTTCTGCCTGGTTCTTATGTACTAGCACATGTGTTGAGTTCTTATTCTTCCTTTTCTTTTTACACATTACCTAACATTGCCTTTTTAAAAAGCAATGGTTAGGAGCCAACAGAAAAGTTTGAAAACAGGGTAGTGCTAAACCTGGGTTCAGAAACCAAAAGGTAGGCTTGTGGACTTTCTAGCTGCCAGTGACTCCAATTCTGCATTTCATCCAGCTTCCAAAGAGCACACAATAATTTATTTTGGTTTCTATAGGACCTTAACACCTCCCATAATGTCCATTATCTCATTTCCTCTCAATCATGCTCCCCACTGGAATAAAGGCAGATAATGAAGCAAATGTAGGCAAACATGACTCATTTAAATGCCTTCATATGCTAGAAAGACAAAGCTTGCAGAAAGAACTGCTATTCTGCCTGAAGCCACCCATGCATATCTTCCCCCACCCTGCACCCATCTGTGTTACCAGGGGCTGTTGAGGCCAGGGAACATCTCGCACAAACCTTTGCACACACAGGATCACACAAGGTTCCAGGGTTCAGCCAACCCTACATGTGTAGGGGCTTATACATGCGCACTTCCTCACTTCCGATACCCACAGAGGATGGGAACAGCAATGCATTCTGCAACACCCTTCTACATACACTTTGCCACGGGTAAAGTAAAATGAAGTAAAAGGGATGACGATAAGAAGAAGGGCCTTCTTAGTGGCTGCCCCTCATGTCTGGAATATGCTTCCTAAAGAGGTCTGCCTGGTGCTGTCACTACTTTTGTCTTGGTGCCAGGTCAAAACTGCCCTTTTTCGAAGCTATTTCAAAACCTGATTTTAACACCTGATTGTAGGAGCTCACTCTGCTCCCAACAGGTTCCCTCCCTTCCTTCCCCCTGTACTTACAATTGTACTGTTGACCTGTTTTTTATGTTGTAAGCTGCTTAGAGAGCCCTCAGAGGGCTAATCAGCAGCCTATACGTTTGATAACAAAAAAAATAAATTTGTTTGAAGAAGGCTTGAGTTTGACTTCAAAATTATGTTTTCTGGTTTCAGAACTTGACAATTCATATAGAAAACGACCTGTCTCACATGATGCACTGTACTCACTATGGGCTATTTAACATAATGAACTGTGGAATGAGACCGATATCATTTTAAATATGCTATCCCTGATGGGGTTTCAGTGTGTCTTCTGAACTTGGCCTTTGGGAATTAAACACTGGGGTTACATAGCCATCACATAATGCTGAGAGCCAGGATCGGGAAAAAACATTTGGAGGTTGTAAACTGAGCATTTCCCATGGCTCATCATGGGTTAAATGGGGTATTGTGCAAACCTGGTTTAGTACATGAAGTGAAACACTTTCTATGTTTGTTTCACCATACCAAATGTTTCACATGATACATGATTATACAAATACTCCTCTCCCAACATGAATGAGAGTTGTGCAAGTCTAGAGATGTGCTTTTACATTCTGTCTTTTTCCACCAAACTTCTTATGAACTGGGTTTATCCTGGAAGTGAGTCACATTGACATGACTCGCTTCCATGATAAAAAAAAGTGCAAAACTCCAATCTGGAGAGCCAGTAAAACTAGCAAACTAAACAGTGGCATGTGACATTGGAAAGGCTTGCGATGCCTTTGACCAGGAAATGCCTTGTGCTTATTGACTGCCTGGAAGCCCCAAGGAATCTTAATTTAAATGCTGATCAGGCTTGTTGCTAAACTGAGGTGCCCTGACAATGGGGTATGGGGCCACTTGTCTAGCCCTACTGCCCACATCCTTGAGGGTATCACTGGTCTCAGTTTGGGGATGACAGCAGGAACTCCTCCCTGGATTCTGCCCCTGGAGAAATCCAGAGGGCTCAAGCACACCTGAAGGGGAACTTCTGAAAAATGGATTATGCCCACAGACTAGAAGTTCTTCATCTGTCTTCTGGCAGTGTTATTTCAATGTCTCAAGGTTTAGGGTGCCAGGTCTTGCACTTGGGACACAGAAACAGGTGTCACAGGTACAAGTGGCTGGAGAGAAGCACTTGTGAAAGGGAACTCGGAGTACTTGCTGACAGCAGGCTGGACATGAACCAGTAGTGTGTCCCGGTGGTTATGAGGGCAAATGCAAAAGACGGCTTCCAGATCTAGGGGGGTATGGATACTCTCTACACAACTCTGGTGCACCCACAACTGGAGTACCACGTCTAGTTCTGGGATCCACATTATATGAGAGATACAGCTAGGTGAATCAGGTTGCAAGAATGGTAGCCAGGTTGGGAGGGATGACATATGACGACAGATTGAGGGAACTGGGTCATTTCAGCTTCGAGAAGAGGAAACTCCAAGGGAATCTTTTAGCAACTTATAGATATGTGAGGGGATGTCATGTGGAGGGCAGGACCCAATCCAATGGAGTAAAGCTCAAGGAACCTGACTTCAGGTTGGATGTCAAGAAGTCCTTCCTGATGGTTAGAAACCCTAGGATATGGAATGGACTTCCAAGGGAGGTGGTTGAGGCCCATCAGTGAGGGTGTTCAAGCAACGCTTGGATGGAGCTGGCTGAAGCCACGGGTCAAACTAGATGGCCCAGGAGCCCCCTTCTCACTCATTCAGTTTCTATGTTTCTATGTTTTTGCTCCAAGGAGAAGAGACAATGCCCTTAAAAGGACCCTAATGCCTAGGAGATTCAGATTGATTTAGCTTCTGGATGGATAAAAAAATATCCTGCTTCATTTGCTTCCAATGGTGGAAAAATGTTAACCTCCAAAACCCTGGATATAGCTTGGAAATTGTACCCTATTTCTCAAGAGTAGAAAACATTTCAGAAATATCTATTTTATGAAGTCTGCACTTATTTTTACTAAGTGCTTGTCATCGATGGACCTGCAGTATCCCAATGGGAGTTTTCATTGGTAGTGGCTGAACATAATTATTTTGTGGTTTGAAAAAACAATAATAATCAGGGAATTAAAGAAGGTTGCAAGACTGGGAGGCTGTGAAATCCTTTCCATCTCTTTGTCTCCAGGCTGCCCACAATATTAATCTTACCTTGTATGCAGCTTGCCTCATAAACTGCTTTGCAGGCTGTTTCCAGATAGCTGGCACTGTGATGACCCACCGGATCTCAGAGTTTTCAAAATCCGAACCTGCCTGATCACTCAACTCCTGGAACAAATGAAGCAAAGTTGTGGTGAGATGCAAAATTGACACCAGCTGTTTCTTAAAGTGATATTGTTTGCAAGTGACTCCTGTGAAAATATTGGAGCATTTCATGTTTTGTAATGTTATGTCTATGGCAGGCTGCTAAAATAACTGATCGACATCTTAAGAATGCCCAGAATGTCAAAACCAAGGTTTCAGTTACACCTTGTCAAGAATGTCTAGAGAAAAATGTGTGATCTGGCAGTGTGATTTTTTTTTCCAACTAAGAGCCCAAAATCTGGCAAACATATGAGCTTATTTTATGTGCATCTTCAAGGCAAGGTGATAGTGGACTGCTTTAAACTGACATTTCTAAGCATTATTCCAGCTGAAAAATATTTGCTGTATAAATACTCTATTTCATTGCACTTCAGTGAATGTAAATGACTCCTGCATATGTTTCCATTATTAAATCACACTTTAAAACTTTAGAGTTAATTGTTAACTCCTTTCCCCACAGGAAACTCTGAAGACATTTGAATCTGTTGTTTGGAAGAAAAGAAAAAAAACCCTTTTCTCGTATAATGAACAGTATTTCAATGTTTTCTTTAGGAACCTGTGTTCAATTTGCAGAGTCAGTGGTATTGGTAATGTAGCTCAGGAACCTTCCACAGCACAATGACCTTATGGATAATTTTCTCTTTGTTCTTCAAGAGGACAAGAATCCAAAAAGGTGTACAATATGCTCATTCAGCATGAATGTGTGTGTATGCATGTATGGCAGGGTAGATTGCCATAGTAAGATTTTAAACTTTTGTCTGAAAATGACTGGCATTTTATCAAGAATTAGCCATTTTGGGGTCAATCAACCTAAAGAGAAAATAATACTTTGATGCCTATAACTTTTGGCTCAAGTCAGTTCTGTTGTGTTTGCAGCCTTGTAACTCCAGTGCAACCGTCAGTGTTCCCTAGTTCTTTTTAATTTTCACCTTTGTTCCTAAATTTTTCAGCACCGCATGTGGTTCTAGATTTTCAAAAGATTGCCATAAAGGTAATTCAGTTTCATCCCCCATAAAGAGTATTTTGAAAATAGAGGAATCAAAGATGTTATATGATTGCAAAACAATTGTTCATCTAACTGACTTCTTCCTATCTACTCTGATTAGCTCTCTGAGGTCTCCGGTTCAAACTGAATGTTACTTTAAAGGGGTGTTTTCATACACGTGCCAACAATTGTCCCTCACTTTCTTTCACAAGAATTATCTGCGTGAACTCCTCATCTTGATCAGTAATATGGTACAGAAGCATCTGGACACAGATGCACCTCTGCATATCATTTTCCCACTGAAAACTGCCCTTTGACACTGCTAGACATGCTACATACCGCAAAGAATACCTTTGGGAGAGCACCAGGATATGCTTTTCAATGAGAAGAGAATATGGGAAATAAAACAATCCCCCTCTTCGTACAGTTCTGGAACTGGATTTGGTGGAGGGGAGTAGATTCTCTGTGAAAGAGAGTGAGCAGCTCCACGCACTGGCCTTAAGACACGTGGTCACTGTGATGCAATTGATCCTCAGGCAATGGCCCTTCCGAGCTTGCCATGTATGATGCTTTATCTATAAGGGGTGGTGGGGAGTGGGGGGAATTAGATCTGGTTGGCATGCTCACAGCTGAGAGAACAGGGCAGTATAAACTTGCAACTGATATTTCCAGAATGGTCTTTGATGCAAACTCATGCTGGAAATGGACCAGATACCACTTTTATGTTAAAGGAGTCACTCACTGTCCTCCTTTTTCAGACAATTTAAACCATGGGTATGGGAAGTTGTTATGCAAGTGGTATTTATGAAGCAAAACTCTGCATTGCTGGAGCCAATAACCCCACACTCCCACCATGACAAACCAGGATTCCAGGGAATAATCCATGATAAACCATGATAAAGTTCACTGTGATTGACCATGGTGCTGATGTGTATTTCCTGATTGTGCCTGCTTGGCTCCCCTGCAAAACCTTCCATATGTGATTTGCTTTTTGTTATGTCTGAACTAATCTGATACTTAGCACTGAGAAAAATATTCCTACACAGGTTAATCCATGTAATAAAAGGTTGAAAAACATAAGCATCAAGTTTCTAGTATATAATGAAAAGACTTAGTGAGACAGAAGTGCAACAATGGAAGAAGTACCTATTAGGATATCAATTTTATCATGGTACTTATAAAATTAAGCAAAAACCAATTGGCCCAGATTCAAGGACCAAGTCAACAACCACTGTTTATTTAATCTGGGAGAAAAGTCCTTTCTGCCTTGAACAAATGTCAGGCACACACTGTCAGAAAATTATCTGGAAGTCTTTGGCTGTTCCTCACTCAAACACAACATCCTGGATATAAAATAATTTGATACTAAGCATTTTGTTAGGCTGAGGAAATATTCTGGCGGTATATTGAAATCATAGCCAAAGCTGCTTCCACAGATTCCAGAAGAATCAGGATGTCACCACCAGCCTGAGCATCATGGAATGCTGCAAAAGCATTTCATAGGCCAGGTAGAAGGTTGTGTACAAGATCTAGGACACATTTTCACAGTGCCTCTACATTTCCTACTGCTGCTCCACTCTGTTTACAGCAAAAACCGCTGCGGGCAAAGTTTGACAACATTCAATCCGGTACAGCAACATTTGTCAAAGTTATAAATGTAAAGTGTTGGAGACAGAAGGGGTTTGTTTACCTTTAATGCTTGTTCCTTAAAGTATTGAAGAGCGTAAGCAAATATTTCAAGTGCCTTGACTTTCTTGCCATTTGCAGCTGTCAGGTCTGTTTCCAGATTGAGATTCTAGAGGAAAACAACCATAATAAAATAATTAAGAAGTGGTAGATACCAAAAGACAATCCTCTTCACTTTAGGGTTTTATATTTCAGAACTGTGTAATCTGCTGCTGTTCTTTTTATGTTAATTGTTTTTTTTACTTTAGTCTAAAACTTTTGAATGCTAATGTTATATAATTTATTGTAGCTGCCTTAAGAAGATATATACCCTACATGTGGGCTAGTAATCTATCAGTTTCTATACATCACTCAAACACACATACACAAAGGTGCATATAAATCATTTTGCAATTGCAGGAAGATCTTTATCCATGTGGCCACCTAGTGATTACAGGGATCAACTTAGAATTACAGAGTACTTTGTGTAAACATCCACTAAACTCTAAATAAGTATCCACTTAGCAGATTAGCTGTATATACAGCACTGTTTGCCAGAGTGACCATTCTAATATATACAGGGAAGACATATGCATAAACAGGATGTTGATCAGCATATGGAATTATGGCTAGCTGTGGGTCTCCATGGCTCAGTGATACAGCACATGCTTGGTTCAATCCCCACTTTCTCCAGGTAAGATAAGGAAAAATACCTGCCTGTAACCCTGGAGAGCTGGATGAACCAATGGCCTGACTGGCAGCTTTTGACAATCTGGAGTATCCACTTAGCTATCCTTGAAATTCACAGATACATTAGCTTTCCTTCATGCTTGCCAGCATTCACTGCCACAAAAAAATTGAATTGGCCATGCCTCTGTAATCTGCCTGTACTAAGGTAAATTCTACCCCAAGAATGATAAGACGTGTTGATGGGCTTGTGAGATGAAACTGCACTTAACTTGATGGTGTCAAGAGTGGTATTTATTTTAAAAGGCTTGAAATAGCCTTTCACAGATAGACAGGAAAATGCTGCCAAAAATATTACATGCTTTTTTGTAAAAACCTAAAAGAACGATTTAACTAGAAGTACAGAATTCATCCATTACTTACACCAGTGGTGTGAAGCTTCATCTTAAATTTTTCAAAATACAACCAGTGTTTTGATTCATTAGGATCTAGGTCATGATAGAAATCTCTGGCTGCATAACCAAAGCTGTGGAATTTTCTCTCTGGTGTTAAGAGGATAGTTGTTGGTGTCTTCTGATTGGACACACCAGGGTCTCCTCCTTCCCATCGCCTAAAACACAGAGAAAGCAATTTAGTATCTTAAAAGCTATAGCATATTTCAACATACTTTAGCATGCATAGCACATGATTTATCCATCCAGTTCAAAGAACACAATCACTCTTTGGAATGTGTGTGTGTGTGCGCGCTTAATGAAGAGCAGCACATACATTTAAAAAAAAAAACCAAAACCTAGGCTCAGGTGGAGATCTGGACTGAATCTAATTCACTGTTCAAAAGTCGGGGACATTCTATTTATTGTGACACCTTCTCCATGAAGTCACACTGTTCACAGGACAAAGAAAGGTTTGCCAAAGTGAGGAATCAGAGCACCATGAAGGATGCAATCCAAGGAAGCTGACCTTGGCCCTCCAGATTTGGAAGGCTAAGTGCATCCTGTGCAGAACAAGAAAAGCAGGGAAGTGAAGGTCACCTCTGCACTATTCCTGCCCTACAAATCAGCTAGACAGTCAATTTGACATCTAGCTACCATACTTCCGAGTAGAATGGAAGAAGACTGAGGTGCCACCAGGGTATGTCATACCTTGGTGACATCAGCATTTCTGTGATAACTCTTAACCACCTCAGAGAAACAGCAGGCATGATCCCAACTTTGCTAGTAATGAGTGGGACAGGACACACAGACCATGGGGTTCCAATTCCAATTTCAGAGTTGTTTTCAAACCTTGGAGTTGGACTCTAAAAATCCTGTGGTCCTGTAGATGCTGCCTAGGTTCCAAAGTGCTGCTCAGGAAATTGCCTGATCTTCTGTTAAAGATGTATAGTTCCAAGATGGACAGACTTCTCTTGGTGTTTTTTTTTTTTTTACTAGAAACTGGAGATCAGCCAACAGGATCCTGATAGACACGTAGAATGAAACAATTCTGAATCGAGTAACATAAAATAAATAAATAAAGTCTAGCATCCAACAGGGCACTTATATTGTTGCAGATTTTCATGTGCCCCATCAATTCCATTGCACAAGCAACCCCACTGCTTGCACATGGTCATGTAGTGCTTCCAAGGAGCAATCCAAAATGAGTGAAAATGCTCCTTTCTGGCAGGTGGAACAGCAGCAGAGCATACATAAGGCAGCAACTTGCCTCCCTTTAGAAATAAGCAGATAGTTATTCCAAGCAAAGCAGAAACTGACCAAATAAGACCATCCTAGTCCAACTTGCTCAATATTTTCCATACTTGGGGCAGACAATCTGGTCTCCTCCAGGTTTTACACTATGTGTCTCATAAGTGATGGTCAAAGATTATGGCCGAAATGTCTGGAGGACACTCCTGAGCTGTATTAGCTGGGAAGGATCCAACAGAGTCCAGCAGCCGGTGTTATTTAGGTTCCACTAGAAGAAACCACTGCCTATGGAATGTCCGTACCTCTCTTGTCATTGACAAGAGCATGTCAATAGTCTTGCGAGACTTCCTGTGCTAGCAGACACTACTGAAATTGTGGAAACAGTGGCTTTTGCTACTACAGCATAATTAGAGCAGAGGCCACACAGCACTGGAGCTTTTGCACTGGCAACCACTGTTTGGGGTCTCAGACAGAAGCCTTCTTTGCCCACCTGCATATACCACAGTATGCTTGGTCCCTTTGGAACCTTTGGAGACCTGCCATACTGTGGCTTTTTCCTTGGAATTTTTTGGTATAGGCTTAGAAAGAGATGAATGTGACAAACAGGTGTTCACAAGCATATGTACAAACAGAATACTAACAGTGCAATCTTACACACATCTGTTCAGAAATAAGTCCTGCTGCTTTCAGTGAAGCTTATTGGCCTTCCGCAAGGGGTGAGTCATATCATTCCTAATGCCTAAAAAGTACCCACCACTTGCTCAAGCAAGGGAGGTTCAGTGCTTCCTAGGGGCGGCCCTGAAATGAGTGGAAATGCTATTTCCAGGATGAAGGTGGAGCAATATAATGGAACTGGTAGGGCAGAAGAGAATAAGCAGGGGCAGAAGCACCCCAAAAGCTCACTCAGACCTTTCTATCTATGGATGGGCTGTGAAAAAGGGTGAGGATAGTCCCTCTACTTGGCTACTGGAAAGAGGTGCCCTCCAATTCTATGAAGTTCTGCTTTAGGGTGCAGATAATATTACATCTTTTTGTACAAATGAAGAAAATCACCTTGTTTATCTAACAGCATTATGTTAGGAGTTAGTTTTGTATGATATTCTTGTTGCTCAACATTCAAAAGTTTTTCTTCTATTATTAGTTTTGACCCTTCTCTTCCCATTTTGATTTATTACTATAAACATGTAAATAAGTTAAATTCTGGGCACTATTCAATGCTCATAGCAATGGAGATTTAGTGCAGCTTTGGAAACTACGGTGGAACTCCCTTCCATGAACTCCACTGACTTTACCATTTCAGAATGGTAAATTTAAGCTAATTTTCAGAGTTGTACAAACAAGTGTTATTTTTTTTCCATTGGTGACATAACAGTATTGAATGTTGCCCAATTCAATTTAGGAGTTCTCTTTTTTAATCTTGATATTAAAGCAAATGAGAGTATCTACTTTGCTAAAGCTTTAAATTTGCATAAGCAGACATCTTGAATTAAATTTTAATGCAAGCATATGACTTACTGGTATTCCTGAAAAAGGTTGGTTAAATGTCATCAGTTCTACACTGAACAGTAAGCCAAAGCTACTGTTTCTTAAAACCTCCGCACCAGCTGCACAGTCAGTGCAAGAAGAAATGTATTGTTTTGAATCAATACTTAATCACTATAATTTTGACTTCTTCATGGACACTTATGTTAATGAAAAGTGCACTTAGGAGTAGAATAATTGTGACAAGCATTCATTCTTTTCCAGATAGAAGTTGCATCAGACTTCTTTCTGGGATAAATGCCCTTGAACTCCAGTTCTGTCAGCAACACAGTTTACTGATATTGTGGCTATTTGCAGGGCAATGCCCGTGGCTGGGTGATCAACTGAAAGAGCCACGAGCCCTTTACTGAATTTCATAAATGTGTTTACTTCCATTGTTGTTAGATTCTTCAAAGTTCAGTTTTGGCAATCCTAGCCCTGAACTCAGACCATTTTTTAAAATGCAGTTTCTGGTTTTGGTTTTCTCTATTGGGAAAGAAAGTTTTAAATGTCTGTGATCACCATCTTAGAGGATACATCCTAAGTGAGCTGAGCATCACAAACTGCAGTGCTTCCCCACTGAGAAAGTGTGAACCATCTACAGATTCTCATTCCCTTGATTAAGCACCAAGCTTAACAATAATAGGAGAGTTTGCTCCATTGTTTGTTTGTTTGTTGTTTATTTATATCCTGCCTTTTTGCTCAAAGGGCTCAAGGCAGCTTACATCATTCTCCTTCTCCATCTTAACCCCACAACAACAACCCTGTGAGGTAGGTTGGGCTGAGAGTCGGTGACTGGACCAAAGTCACCCAGTGGGCTCCATGGCCGAGTGGGGACTAGAACCCAGATCGTCTGAGTCCCAGTCCCCTGCTCTTAACCACTGCACCACACTGGCTCTGTTGTTCTGTTCTGTTAAGGTAACAGTGTCAAGGGAGGGAACACAGCTCAGCATGACAAAAAACATGCTTTGCACGCAGAAGGTTCCCTGCTTGATTCCTAAGCATTTCCAAACAAAGCCAGGAAAGAATCCTGCCAGAAAACCTGGAGAGCTGCTACCAGTCAGTGAGAACAATACTGGACTAGATGGACCCATGGTCTGACTCAGTGTAGCAGCTTCCTATGTGCCTGTGTACATCAGTGGAGATTTGGGGCTTAATTACATTAAGGAAAAGAAATAAACCTGAAAGACAAGAGCACTAATACGGCCATCATTCATGCAGAATGTTCTGTACAACAGAACAGTGTTTCTTTGTCATTCAGCTAGTTTGCCACATGACTGACATCTTTTTGCCGGACCATCCTACGCTCACTATTGTTGAACCTCTATTCATACTTGATTTACCCATATTTCCTCTCCCCATTTAGGATGAATCTAATATAGAACATCAAAGTTCTGAGTAGGGGCTGAGCACTCTGCTGGTAAAAGAAACGTTAAACAATTGGAGTAAGACTCTGCTACTAGGGCAACCTAAATAATATCAATAATGTTATACTTGCAACATACAGCTATCCTTCGGATGACCTGCTTTATCCTGATGCAGCTTGTTAACCAAAATATTTCAGCATGGCCCACTCAACTGCATTTTTAATACCCCTTATTTCAATGAAACTTAAACATGTTCCTAAAGCTCTCACTGAAATGGCTTAACATGGTGCCTACATTTTGGCTGGATGATGCTATACAAGGAAGTATAACACTTAATCCCTTTCCTACTTCTTAGGAGCCTTCTCCACATTTATGCCCCAGAATTGGAAACAATTGGAAATAATTTGCTTAAACAAAGGCACATCCGAAATGAACATCTTCATCCAAGTTTAGCTTCCTTCTTTTTGTGTTTCTAACTCAGGGACTGTTTCTAGTTGAACTGCCTCCCCCCCCCCCCCACCCCAGTGGGCCCACTGACATCAACTAGAAAGCATCAGATGTGGACTCATGCTCAAGCAGAGCTGTCTGTGTTCTCATCTATTATAAGCTATTTTCACGATTCTCCTCAAAAAGTGCAATAGGAATCTGCTAAATAAATAGTTGTACCAATGTCAAATGCCCAAACCAAACATCCTCACCCTGAAGCAAAGAGAGCATGGAGTCCCAATCAGCCAGCAACTGTCAGCAGTTATTGAGGAAGCAGGAAAAGGCTTTTCCTCCTATTTTTGCATACACAGACTCAGAAATTCCACTGCCAGACATCTCCGGATTGCTGACAGGGGCTCAGTGCTCACCACTGAAGTGAGGATGTTGAGTTGTGAATTTCAGTTGCAGGGAAGTTGGTTCCCATTCTCCTGTAGCCCAGCCGATGAACATGAGTCATGACAAGGGATGAGCCTCAGCTATAGGGAATTATATCATCCTTTTTAAATTCCAAGTCCTTACTGTGTGATCTGTGCCCCTTCACTACCAATTACTGCTATGGCAAGATGTCATCATTGGAGGGTATGTTCTGAAACTGAATGTGTATCTGACAGGAATTACTTAGGCCGAAGAAATTGGGCTGGCACTGTAGACTGGATTGTTGACCCTTGAAACTCCTTCCAGCTCTCTGGATCTATGGTTTTGGTTGGCTTCACAATTTCTTGTTGAACACTTGACTGAACACTTTTCGCCAGTGTTCAGGAAGCTTAACAGTCATTGTCTGTCAGCATAACCCACTTGATTGATTTGCTTTGCAGCTGTGTTAACAGTAAAGACAAGGAAGTGGTATTTTTAATGGTACTCAGAAAAGCAAGTATTTGGAAAGGATCAGTACAAACCGGGGAGAAAGAAACCTGTTTGAAGTGAAAAGAAATGACGCATGTATTATAAATATTAATATATTTATCTTGCAAATGATTCTTATTTGGTAAATATTGTCTTTATAATGCCCCCTACATTATCAGTTGCCACACAGCTTGAATATTATACAACAGTATCCAGTGTGACACTTCCACTAATGTAAATTATGTTGTGCTCATGTAAATGATCTCTAGTGTCATTTAAAATGATGGGAAAGCACATCAGCCCAAACAAGTACTATTGGCATTGCACTAAAGATAATTTGTGCTATAGCAACGTAATTTATGTTAATGGTAGTGACACGCTGGATATTGCCCATGGCGCTGAAATATTGAAATGTCACTTCAAATAAACGGATGACAGTTTGAAATTATGAGATTGTCCCCCCTGTATTCTAGCTTCAAGACTGTAAAAAAAAGAAGTAACTGGAACTTCTGGGTGGATCTGTCAGATTACATGTTATGAATGTCTTGATTGTGTAAGTGTTGGTTGGCCAAACGGCATCTAGAAGTTGGGATGCTTAAAGCTGGTCTCTGTGAATTCCAAAACTGAGCTGGATCTGCACTTTCCAGATGAATGTGCAGACTGGTACCTAGTTATCCACTGATGTTGCTGTGTTCAAATGTTTTGATGCACCTGTCAGCCTACATGTACGTATCCATATTTTATTTAAAATTAAGTTTGTGTGTGTGTGTGTAGAAAGTGAGAGAATTTCTGCATGAATTTTTAATCATTCTTTTTTAACAAAGCAACGTAGAAGCTTGTGTTTTTCTACCTAAGAAAATGCTTTGGACTGGGTCCCTGTATCAAGATCCTTTTCCAGGTTAAAAAAAGTGTATTCCTTCAGATAACTGCCCTTTGCTTTTATACTTATTGATTAGAAATCTGAATTCTCGTTTGAGAGGCAATTCTGCCTTTATGGTAAAGGCTTTTATGTCATTCAATTTTTAAATTAAAAAAATCTCTATTTTTTGTTACCTCTTAGTATTTCACATAAAATCATGTGATTAACCTGCTTTAACCAGTTTAAAATCAGTTTAATATTGTCCATTCCATGCTTTGCACTCTAAACGTACAGTACACCGCATGTCACCACAGCTCTGTTTTTGACTGGCCTTGTCCTCTTAAATATAGAGCAAAGAAACTGAAAGGAGGCATGCGCACACCGAAGACTGCTCAGCTAGAAGAGACTCTTGAAGTGTGTCCCATGCCCTGTTGTTGGCTCCCTTTGTAGTCCCCACAATTAAGTTGAATTTCCTGTCAATTATCTTTATTACGCAAACAAGCAAACATTGCTTCAGGCTACAAATGTTTTGGGCAAGCTTTGCATTACACAGAACCTCATTGGCTTCAGTTAGTTCCCTAGATTAGAGCACCATGAAAGAGGGTTGTTATGAAACTGTGCCTACTGCAGCTTCTCCTTCGCAAGCTGAGCCATCCTGCCCTCAAGGTCAGTCAACCACATGGCCTGCTCCCTGGTTGCAAATCTCTTTGAGCACTGAGTGATCCGGTGGCCCTCCCTTTTCATCTGATGCCTAAATCTTGGGTCTTGTACTTTCAGTCCCTCCTCCTCTTGGTGTTCCCCTGCATTCCCAATGGATTCAGACAGCTCAGCATCATTTTCCTCTGAAGGACAACCAGATTTCCTTCTGTCTGTCCTTGTGATTCTCCCCAGTCTGCTGCACCTTCATCCTTGACATCTTGGTAGTGCCATCTATCTCCATATTTTTGCCTGACTCAGAATCAGTCCTTGCATCTTCTTGGGGGGTGTTTGTGTATGTGTGTGTGTGTGTGTGTGTGTGTGTGTGTGAAGGTGTTGAGTCTAATCCCTAAAGACCTAGCTCCAGATCTCTCCCTCTGATCTGTGCTCCAGAACTCCAGGTATCTATTGATGCCAGTGGAAGGTATTCTTTTAATCTTAACTGGATGGACTAGAGGCAATTTTTCTACATGAGAGGGAGCAAGAAGACCTGCAAGAAGACCTGCATCAACTAATGATTTAGGATGAACTTGGGTGTGGTACAAATTTAAGTATGTATTGAATTGAGATTAGTTTTCTGAGAAATTTATTTGCTGGCTTTGCCATTTGTGAAATTTAAATAAATCCTAGTAATGCATTCTAAATTTGCATAGAGATATACACCATGATTAGAAACCTTGCTCATGTGGAACTGTACATGTACAGGTAACCCTTTACTGACCTTTAGTTCAGGGAGGATGGTCAGGATAACAACCTGTCTCCACTGGTTAACTCTTTGCATAGAGAAGGTTTGCAGAAGACTATGTTACGCCATCTGCAATACAACTCATCCATCGCACAGTAATGATTATGCTGATGAAACCAAGCAGTGTGGGAGCAAAGTAAGCACTGATCAGGCAAGAAGCCATAAGAAAGCAGCCTGAACTTCACTCAGGCAAACACTGAAGAGCCTGGGAAGAGCCTTAGGCTTAGAACTTGATGGGATGCTACTGGACCCCTCGTGTCACCTACACGTGTTGCACAGGAAGCCGGAATACTGCCCTCTGGCCAGCTCCATGATTGGGGCCTAAGCACAGTAGGAAGCAAGCCAACAGCTCCCTCTTTTGGCAATTGCCATGATGATGTGAGACAGCAAGGTAGCCATTGCCTAAAGCTACCTAGCTATTTTCAAATCACGTTTCAGATTTCCACATTTTCCACATATTATTACTAATTTCAGACTCCCTAATAGAACTCCACCTTTGCTTGGCATCCACTGTACAACTGCTGAAATGACGCATGAATAAGGAGCTTTGGTCCTTGATAGTACATCTCCCCCAGCTGCCTCTGCTTAGCAATTTGCTGAACTTCCCTTGAGTTGCTTCAGCTACTGTTTAGACATGACTGGAACATCACTAACCATACACTCACAAACACTCCAACCACCTGGCACATAAAGCTGTAATGCTGGCTACTTTTACCTCATTATATGAATACATTCTGGCTCCTTGGCAAAGCTGTAGGCGTAGCCACTGGAAGTTGTGCCAAAGTCTATAGCCACAACAACGAGAAATGATTGCTCCTCTGGGTTATTTGTATCTGAATCCTGCTGTCAAAAGAACAGAAATAGAACAGTTCTTATGTGATTTCAAAGAGGAGCTGTAAGTATTACCAGTTCTGTTTGACACCAAAGTACAGCACTTCTAATCTCCACAGTGATTGAAATTAGTAATCTATGAATGTCAACAGAGATCCACACTCACACTTAAAGGCTTCACACTTTAACAGGGATAATTTTGCACATCATCAAACTGACACTTAATCATTGTTACCCCAGAGGAATCAGAGCTTCACACATCACCTTGGGCAGGTTTGCATGATACAGTGCGCCATGATGGCTTCTGTGCAGGGGGATCTAGTGTGTTGTCTGAACCTTGTCATGGTATTTCAGCATGGGATGTTTGGTTTTTAGAAACCACAATAAGATACAATGGTCTGTTCTATAGTTTCTATGCTTCACCATGGTTTCTCTGATTGCCCAACCCCAGCAGTGTGGTTTTCATGGTCCTGGTACACAACTACCACAGAGGCTCCTGAGAAGAGATGCATCTGCTGCAGGAACTGCTCCAGCCATCCAACATAGGACTAATTTTAGGCATGGTGACTGATGGAATATGTGCCAACTGCAGGAACAAGGAGGATAGAAACCACTTGATCATCTGTCAGAGACATTCAGCAAAAATCCAAGCACCATGGAAACCATGCACTGGTGTTTAGAATCATAGAACAGTTGGGTCAGAAGGGGCCAAGAAGGCCATTGGGTCCAACTCCCTGCTATTGCAGGTTACCAATTTACAACATCTCACCACTTGTTGTGGTATGTGAGCAGACCCCTTCTTTACAACTTCTATGATCTAAATAGACTGCTTTGACTCTAAATAGACTAAATAGACTCTTGACTGCTTTGTCACTCAGAAAAAGAGTAAGTGAAAAATGGATTGTTCTTGAAATATATGCTGTTCACACATCAAATAGGTTGTATTTCAGTGGAAGGTGGGAAGCAGAAGTTAGATCAAGATCTTCTGGTAACTATCAAATTGATTTGGGGTAGATCAGTAAGGGTTTCTAACTCCCAATGATCTAGAATGATCATGACAACAAATTTAATGATTTAATGATCATGATAACAAAAAAGCCTCTTCTCCTTCCTAAATCAGGCTGCTGAGATCAAGAAAGAGGAAAGGCAGGAAAAAGGAGCATATTTTTGTGTGAAAGGATTCATGTGCAGCCTCCAGTGATAGAACAAATTTTGGGATTAAGCACATGTTTAGAAACGCCTTGTTTTCAAATCCTGTGTCCAATTTTCTGAGTTACAATGTTGTATCTGGCTCTAATTGGTAGAGAGAAAACCAGTCCCATAAACCTAAAGGCCACTCACCTTTCCATTACAGAATATATAGTCATTGTTTCAGAATTAGCATGAATTGTAGCTCTGTGGAATTATGAAAAAGTAAGTCTAGTTTGTCAGTAGCACTCAGCTTTGAAATCAGCACACTTTTGAATAATGCTTCTGATGAAAAGTACTTTTAAATTGCAGCAAAATACCAGATAGATCTTTTCTCACTCCAGATAGAAGTTGCTTGGGCACAGGGGAAGGTCTCTTTACTTTCTCCTAAGGGCCTAAAGGCATATTTGGTGAGAAGGACCATATTTGGGGGGGGGGGAATCAGATTCTGGAGTGTGTGGAGAGCAGTAATGTGTCCATATTAGCCAAGAACATCAATTTATTTTGGTTGGTTACAACAGAAAAGGGCAGGGAGAGTTTGCCAGAGCTCAGAGAAGAAGCCAGAAAACAACAGGAGAAGCTAAAAGGGACTCAAGGAGTGGCTGAAGAGAAACCAGAAGAAACTTGAAGAGTAGTTATGTCTGAGGAAGAAGTCTGCAACCAAAGGCTGAGATAGTTCATGGCAGATGTGTGGAAAGGTTTGCAGGGCAAGACAGGGAATCTCCTAAGGCAGCTTCAGAAGGAACTGTGACCAGAGTGTCAGCCGAAGACAGTGAACCCGAGGCAGCAGTAATAGCTGGAGCAGAGAGGAGGCCGAAGAAGAGAGAGTTGCATACATCCCTATTTACAGGAACCTTTCCAGAAATAACTAAATTTTCTAGGGTGGTGTTTTATAGCATAATTAGCTAAACATTCACCAGAGAGCAGAACTCTAGTCTTTTATTATAGATTATTAAGCCTATAGAACATGTTATATTTAATCAAATATTTCTGATCCATAATTGTACTTTTAAATACATGTACTATCTCTTTGTTTACATTTTTTTGAATTGCTGGTTTGTTTGTTAGTTTTCTTCAGACCAGCTATGGTAAAGAACAAAGGTCAACTGGAAAACAAAAGCATTTATATCATATGGTAGCAATGGAATTTTGGAAACTAAAAAGATAATCACATGTGTACCCTTATAATGCATTACTAATATATTATTATGTACTGGTAACAGTTACAGACATGATACAGACAAGAAAGAATGACAGAAAGGCAGGCAGGCAGGCAGACACAGTCGGTCAGTCAGAAGGAAAGATGGATTGATAGATGGACGGACAGGTGGACAGATGGATGGACAGATGAATGACAGACAGGCAGAAAGCTAATAGGCATTTGAGAATGGTTGCTTTGTGCACCAGCATGGAAAAAAGAATATGAGCAAACTTTTCCTTGCCATCACCATAGAAACTTATTAAGTAAACTACACAAAATGTCAAAATGGGTCTCTTTGTGGCAGATTAAGCCTGACTTTGCAAACGTTGCAGGCTCAGAACATTCTCTACCTTGTCATGCAGGGGAATCACTCAGTCTAGCACATTGCCACATTGGTCTGTTATTGCCTTCCAGGCCTTTTCAGACTGAAGGTCAGTGCTGCTGACATTTTTGTTTATTCTCAGCTCCAGGACAATATCAAACCAGATCTCCTTCAGAAGTTCTTCTCTGAAACATTCTCTTCCCTGCTTTGGGACCATTTAGCATAGGAATCTACTGGCAAATGACTGTGTAATTGCTATATGACCATACAGCTGGCTTCCCTCAGGGTCTCATCACATCAACAAGTAGGGAACTATCGGGGTCCTCGCCAAAGCCAACCAATCTCCTTCATTTTTTCTCTATAGTTAGAGAGGAAAAGCAATGAAGGGCATGCAATATACTGCGGTCTCAGCAGTGTTCAAAAGGCTCTGCTGGACACCAGGAAATAAATATCTATGCAAGATAATCTAGCAGAGTCTATAAAATAAACAGAACCCCTGCTAATTAAGATCAGATTGGTTGGTAGGCAATAAAAGGAGAGATTTTGCAGGAAAGACCACTATGTAATGCTTATCCAAGGACATACAGGTGGCCCTGTCAATTCTAGCTTACGGCTGATTGAAGTCTGATCTATTTTGGATGACTTTTCACCAAGATGATTCTACTAAGGATGCTAATTTGGGTCTGCACTATTATTAGTTATTCTTGAGGAAGACTAAATACCCTCTTCAAGGATCTTCAGTGTAGTTATTTCTGTAATCATCCTTTCAGAACTGACACATATTTTTAAAATTGTCATACATTTTGTAAGCTGCCTTGAGAGAACACTATGCTAAGGGCAGTATCCTGTGCATGTTAAGACACAAAAAGTACTACAACTCCCAGCCAATATGGTTGGTCAGGGCATGCTGAGAGTCAAAGGACTTCACTTCTCTCTGAATATGCATATAAATGTACACCTAAAGTCAAGTGCTTAAAGATTGACAAATAGGGATTATCATCCATGGATGATACATAGAATAACAACATTGCCAGAGATAAAATAATACCAGAAATATATTCTTACTGCAATATGGGATGGAGAGAGTGGTGTTATTCCTGGATCTCCCAGGCTTCTTGCTGGAGATGCATAGACAGCAGTTGAAACTGCATCTGAAATAAAAAGGGAGTCTTTTACTTGTGAATATTCTTCCCAGGGGAAAACCACTGGAAAAGGACATAATACCAAGGACATGTTTCATGATACCAAGTTTGCCCAATGTGCCAAAACAGCTTTAGAAATAAGATTACTTGTCAGTTATTCTAATTATTTCATTCTTACAATTAAACATTTAGAAATAAAAAATGTACTGCAGCATATTCCTTTGGGCCGATATTAAAGGCCAGATATATGATGTCAGCCTTCCCCCCACCCCAGTGCTGTCCAGATGTTAGACTTCAACTTCCATCAGCCCCAGCAAACATAATCAAAGGGCAGACATGATAGAAACTGTAGTCCAAAACATTTAAGTAAATCAAGTTGGGGAAAGCTTGTGTATGCCAAAAATTAGCAGCATTCACAGTGTGCCTCGCGACTGGGAATGCCTCCATCCCCTAATTAGTACAAGGCAAGAATTGATACTCCCAGCTTGTTGTCTTGACTAGTACTGCAGAAAATGTGGGGTAAGGAATGCATTCTCTCTCTTTTTCCTTCTTTTTGCAAGATGTCCCCACCCCATTCATGTCCTTCCTAGGAGATGTAAAGTCTCTTCCCACCCCCCACCCCACCCCCTTTTCATTCAGTGCAAGACTGAGATGGAAACACTTCTGTACTAAGACTTTATCACAGTATCCCTATGATTGTGGCATATCACTTTCAGCACACAAGTGGAAAAATGGGAAGCACACAGTGGGCCCCCGTGCATGTGGGTTTCAGAGTGCCCACATTCATCGTGCCATGTATTTGGTTTTCCTCTTTGCACTTCCAAAAAAACAAACTGTTGTTGGCAGAAAGTTCTTTATTGTCCAATGCGTTTCCAGCACACACAATCAATAAAGAATGAGTCTCTGAGCATGAACAGAGCAGTTCACTGAACCCAGTCTAGCACCTACTTCCGAGAACCCTCCTTTTGAGTATGTCAGGGCCCCATCTCTCCAGGAAGCCCCCTCGTAAGTTGGCCAGCCTATTCTCTGTATGCTGACCCTCTAGTTCAGTGGCTTTCAACCTTTCCACAGCTGGGGACCGGCACCCCCAGCAGCACTGGCACGCCCACACAAACACAATGTCAACTGAGGAAGAGGTGGTGGAGCACAGTCAGCCCCCAGGCCAGTCCACAGAGAGAGGGATGTGGCCCCTCCATGGACTGGCAGGAACCCTCTTGCAGACCATGGCCTGGAGGTTCAAAACCACTGCTCCAGCCGGCTAGCCCTTCTCTCACCACACTGTGTCACGAGGTCAGGGCATTCCAGCCTCATCTGGAGCTGCTAGCCCATGCTCCCTCTTGACGGTAGTTAATCTTGGCTATTCTCAAGAGTACGCCTGAACACATAGATGGAGGAGGAGAATGATGTAAGCTGCCTTGAGTCCTTTGTAGGAAAAAGGCAGGCTATAAATTGCAAAATAAATAAATAAATAAATAAATACTTATAGAGGGGGGCCTTGAGATAAGCTCCCCCACTTTTACCATCTCAATGTTTGGAGCCCAGTTTCCCAGCCGACCCCCTTGAGTCTACATCAGCATGACCTGGAAGCATGCACCAAAAACAACTCCCCTTCACATTCCCAACACTTTGGGACTGGGGCACCAAAGCTAACACTATGATTCCCCCCATGCAGGCAACTGACACCAGGCACATCTGTTCAGTTGCTTTCAGAAACAAGATGAACTCACTCAGCTTCTCAGAGCCTTTACAAGCCCAAAGCGCCACCCTAAAACTTCCAAGACAGCAAGTGACAGCAAATGGCATCTCATTACCCTGTGCTACTGGCTGTGAAGCTGAGCTTGAGCAGTAGCTGGCAGAAGGTGAAGACAGGAACTTCTGAACCCTAAAATGTTTGGTTGCTATTCATGAGGCGTGATGCTAGTTGAACCGTGTGCACTGAACACTTAAAACTTCCAGACCCTGACTAAAGTTCCAAGCAGCTGGTGAATATCTAGAGATTTACACTAGTATCTTAAGTAACACCCCAGTCCACCCAAACCATGCTTCTCTCACCCACTGCCCTCCAGGTGTTTTGGACTACAATTGACCTAGGTAGTAAAACTGCCATGAAACCTTGAAACTAAATGACTACCTCCGGAATCTTGTAAAATCTCACAGTTTTCACGGTTTTAATACAGCTCATTAATAATAAAGAGATGGCTTTGCTCCTAACTTTTGCTTCTTTGATTTGAATGATGAAAAGTAGGAAGGAAGGATGGACAGAAGGACCCCCCCCCCCCCGTATTTTAGTGATGTTCAGGCATTTTCGCAATATAGACACACACACAAATGGATTATCTCTTTGCAAAATATCCAGGACTTTTAAACAGTTCAGTAAGATATATGCACTGTTTGTGGTATCTTTGCATACAAACTATTTATTTATTTATTTAAAACTTTTTAGACTGTCCCTTACCAAAGTCTCAGGATGGTTTAACAGTAAAACAAAAACTAGCAAAATGTCTAACAGGTAGAGCAAAGCAAAATTTTCTATTACTGGCAAAGACAAGTTTTCAGATCGATTTTTCTGTAAACACCAATAAACAAGATTAGTTTTGAATGTGTGATCAATGGTTTGGTTCCAGACTTAATCATTCTTAGAGAAGTCCAGTTGAAATCTATGAGATTTAAGTCCATCATCATCATCACCATAATAGTCCTACTAATTCATTAATTAGTCCCATAAAAGTCCCACTGATTCACTGTAGGAAAGAAACAAGACGTTAAAGATGTATCTAGCAGTTACATTTTTTTAGACTACTATAATGTAGATACAGATGAAGATTAATGAGCTAGCTCAAGCATCCTCCCCCTCTGAGTAGAGCCCTGGTAAATACCATGAAAAAGATGGGGAAGTTTTTTCCGGAGATATAGACTGAGGCATCACCATTGTACAATTCATTCTCTCCTTATTATCAAATCCAGGTGAGGCAACAGGTGTTTTGAACAAGTGCTGTGTTGTGGTAGGGACTGCATTCCCCCAGAAGGATCAGGTTTGCTGTTTGTGGTGTTCACAGATTCAGCAGTATCACTGGAAGGACAGGTGACTTTGGAGGCACAGAGCATCTTTTATTAGTTTAGGCCTATATATATATATGAACCATGTTACTATCTGGCCAAACATGATCTAACTACAGTAACTTCTTGTTTGGGTTGCCTCTGAGAATGGTCCAGAAAGTTCAGCTGGTCCAAATTAGGGCAACAAGATTGTTAACGGGAACTGGCCAATATGTTCATAGTGCTTGACGAACTGCATTAGTGTCCAGTCCATTTCCAGGTTCAATTCAAATTGCTTGTAGCAACCTATAAAGCCCTACCAGGTTACCTGAAAGATTTCCTTTCATAGACCTCTACCTGCATCCCAAGAAAATCCAGCACACATCTCTGGATGCATCCCCCAAATGGGTGACTATGAATGTGAGGGCCTTCTCACAGGTAGCATTCTAGTTGTAGAATGACCTCTGTAGACAGTCTTACCTATTACCTACATTGTATTTTCAGTACTAGGAGGGAGGTTTTTTAAAAATTTTCCCAGGTGTTTTGTCTTTAGTTTTAAAAACTGTTAGTGTCTTTTGAGATCCAAGCAGTGCTGCTGGCTTTTATCTTGGTTACTACTTTGGTTTTATTTTGATTTAATATCTCTTAGGGTCCAATGCAAATGTGATTCCCATTACCATCTGGACGTGGAGCAAAACAAAAACAAAATTAAAGCAGGCATGGCTGCTAGGCACAGGTTTAAAGAATGCCTCTTTTGGCTCAAAGTATGACTAAGTTCAGACGCAATACATAGTAGTAACTTGGTAGATAATTTAAGAATTTCAATGGCTTTAGGATTTCTCCCCACCAAATATTCCTTGTTAAACATTGAGAGTATGGCCCAGGATATGTTTGATATCTGACTTTCTGTCCAGGAATACTGCAGCTACTATGACTTCTTCTTCTTTCTAGAGCTAGTAGCCATGGGTTGGGATTGCAGTGCAAATGGGGGAGAGGGCTGATCTCCCCTCCATTTTCACCCATCAAACTGCTATTTGCCCAGAAAAGGCATCAGTTTTTATGGCATCTTTAAGTAAACAGCCCTTTTGGCAGGGATTTTGGAATGGCAGAGGAATTGGGCAATGCTCCCTGACAAACTTCTGATGTAGACTGGGGGATGGGGATGCTGCAGCTGCTTTTTCTAAAAAGACACATCCCACGCCTGGGATAAACGATCTTATGGCAAACATATCCTTTGGTTTGTCTGACTCTCAATACCACATTTTTCAAAGGTGCAAGTTATTGCTCATAGTCTAATTCATGGATTTTTATCTGATTGCTGCTCTCACTAAGACCATTTCACACATTTGCAAAGGCTCCGAGAAACACAAAATGTCCTTCATACACCTATTAACTGTTTTCTTTAACGCCTGTTGAGAAGGAATAGAATGAATTCCACTTTAGCTCAACCTAGCTAATATAGCACCTTTCTCTTGGGTTTCCATGGACACCAGAGCAGCGCACACATCCTATAATCAAAACCGTGGGGGGTACTGCTTAAAGCTTGCAGTGCCATAAGAGACAGTTGCATTTAAAAGAAAAAATGCTTCTGCTGTAGTGATTTTTCCATTTTCCTCTGTTTTAGTTCCATTGGGACCTTGGTGGTCTGTCCAAAAATATATGAAAATGAATTCTTCATGTCCACTTGGAATTTTCAAAATAAGATTCTACCATAAACACAGCAAGAGTTATCTTGACTCCCTAACATAACAGCATTTTCCTGCTTATTTTTAGCAATCTCCATTTTCGGAACTTTACATACCTTTTCCTTTACCCTTTAGTGACTTGGTTTGCAAGGAATATTTGCAAAAAGCTTGTCCCATAAGAGTGTTTTGTAGTAGCCCAACTTTATGCATGTTTATCCAAATGAACACCTCTCTGGCTAGGAAGGTTCTTTGGGCTAAAATCTAATACAAAGTCATTGTCAGAAAGCC